TTCTCAAAGTAAGCAGTTTTTGAAAGTTTGGTAAAGAATGTTAAAATTTCAAGTTCCAAATATTCTTTTCAATTTCAACTTAAAATACTCTTTCTTTCAATTTTAACCACTAATTGGTCCAAACGCCATTAAAAGAAAAAATCAAAAATAGTATTATGTTGTATAATTTGGCGGAAAAATAAATTGACAAAATCTAAATTCGTGATTTTCTTGTGTTACTGATTGATAACGTTCAACTGTTTTACTTTTGATTTAAGATCACTTAACAACAAAGCCAAGATACTGAACAGTGAATAGCAAATTGGAACTCTCATTTTTATTTTTTTGTTCAATTATCACCTGTTCAGTTAGTCCTTAACTAGCATGTCATTGATTTTTTAATTTTATTAGAATAATTATCAAAGAAGGTACAAACGTGAACATAAACAGTACAATAAACAGTTCACAAAATATCGGTATCTAATGCCTTCAAATCCGAATTATGATACGGTATATAAAAAGGTAGGGTAAATGATAAAATAAAATTATTTAATAATAATGAAGGGTGAGATTGAGAGAAAAACACAAGAAAACGACGCGGGCACACCAAATCGGTCGTTACATAAAGTGGCACATTTCATCATTACGTAACAACGAATTTAATGATACAATACAATAAAATTTAAGTAACAATCAAAACAAATATTTAAAGTAACAATACGATACAATACAATAGGTAACAACCATCCAAACAAGCTGTTAAGGAAAGTTAATGAAAATTCATCAATTTTGTGCTACATTCTATTATTCTGGAGATTGAACAATCATGCTAGATCCGCAGAGGTGCTCCTAGGAACAAAAGAAGCACCTCGAAGTGGTTGAAATATATTAAACTAAAAACCGCCTCTAATTTTCTTTCCAAATGTGTATATAACTACAAAATTAGGACAATATTTACTCGGTTTAAGTAGGGTTTTCTATTTACAAAAAGTAACTAGAGTTTTTTATAAAATATATATAAATGCGGTCAAAAGCTATGATTTATATACAACTTGCATACAATTTTTTGTTTTTGATCAAAAGATAAAATTTACATACAACTTATATACAACTTGTATATAACTATTTGTGGTGCAAAAACTTGAATGGTTCTTCACTTGAACAATATTCATATTACATGATAATAGGAGAGGGGCATGATCTGAGCCATATTTAATAAGATGCTCAACCTCTAAAGCTGGAAACAAGTCCTGGAATTGTTGATTAGCCAGGTACCTATCTAACCTCTTCAAAATGCAAGCATCATCTGATCTCCCATTCCACCATGTGTATAGAATCCCTTTGAAACTAAGATCATAGAGAGCACAAGTGTCAATACAATGAGCAAAGACTTGCACTTCACTAAGATAAAATACCAAGCCTCCATACTTCTCCTCTTCAGTCAGAATGACATTAAAATCACCTCCCACTAGCCAGGGTAAGTTCATGTCAGAAGCTAAGTGATACAAAGAATCCCAAAGCTCAATTCTCTCTATTGCATTACACTTTGCATACACCAATGTAACAATCAAATGTTTATCCAAAACTCTATGAAACAACTTGAGAGTAAGTTATTGTTCCATGTCTATCATCACTTCCACTTCAATATCTTCATCAATAAATTCCCAGATCTTCCCATTCATGTTTGCTAAGGCAGTGTGTATTCCCAATTTTCTGTTAATATCTTGCGAAGGCTCCATAAGACCAATCAGATAGAAATTGTACTTTCTATGAAGGTTAATTAACATGTTGAAAGCTTTCTCGGTGTTGATTGACCTCATATTTCATACTAATGCATTATCCATATACATTATTTGGAATTAGAGACTCCACTCCTCTTTGGTTGTACTCTAACAGGTACAATTTTATCCTTTTGTTTCTTTGCATGTTTGGTACCTGACTTCTTCTTGTCTACACTTCTTGGTGATAAAATCTCATTGCTGATAAATTTTTGGAAGTTGTCTACCGTAGATTTCTCATCAACATCCTCTCGTAACTCTTCCAGTTCAGGTTGCTCATCAGTAACAATTTGAAGTGCCAAAGGCTTTGGCTCATGGTTCTTTGCTTTCATCCCCAGCTCTTTTTGGCCCCTTTGATATATGAGAATGCCCTTTGCCAATATACCATTTGTAACACTTGTAACACTATCACTAAATACTAACAATATACCACTTGTAACACTAAACATTTTCCCAGCTAGAATGCAAGGATTATCAACTGCAGGAGCAACAATTTGAATTGCATTGTTGCTTGTGTTTGTCTGCCTAGATTCTGAAGCACATGCCCTTATTGCCAGGTCAATTTGATCATGTGTCCGCCTTGTATCCTCCTTCAACACCATTGAATTCATCTCCATAGTCCCCAATGCTTCTTGCATCATGAAGATCATATACTGATCCTAACATAGGGTTTAATGTAGCTAGGATCGCAAAAATCATTGTTCCATTGGTTTCCATCACCTTGCCTTTGTTGTTTAATGGTATGACTGCACTGTATCCTCTAACACATTCATATTAACATTCTCATCCTGGCCACCACCTGAAAAATCCACCGGAACACGTTCAACATTATCAAAAACCTTTACAGAACCTCTAGGGTTTACTGTTCCATTGGCATGCTTCCTAGTTGAAGCTTCAACTGGTGATCCTTCAATGATTTCAGCTTGTTCTGGTTGTTCTTTATCATATCCAACTGATAAATTACCATGCTATTTGTTAGTAGTCTCATTAATCCCAACCCTAGTTTTTAGTAGACTAGGGTTTACTGTAGCAGTAGTTAGGTCAGCTTTTTGGTTGTCTTTTCCTCCTCCTTGGGAAATCTTTTCAATATTGCTTCCATCATAATTCATCTCCATATAGTCCACCTCATCACTCCACAAAACCTTAGTAGAAGTTACTTCATTATTAATCTCCTTGTTCATGGCAGAATCATCAAAAGTTTGTGATGGTATTTCTTGACACGAGTGGTTTACAGTCACATTGAGTTGTTTCAACTCCTCCTTGCTCGTACCAAACTTTCTACGCACCCATTCAATTTTAGACTCCTTCTCATTTGCCTCCTCAATCCCAATTACATTAGGATTAGGACTGTTCTCTTTACCCGCGCTTCAGGCTTCATTCTTTTTTGGACTACCAATCCCAGTAGTTGTAGGATATGTACTTATTGCCTTATTTGCCTCATTTTTCACCTTGTTTTCCACTTCCAAAACTGCTTCCTTCTTCACACGTATCACCTCTTCAATTGCTCCTTCCTCTAATAGGGCAAATTTGTTAGTAATTTGCACTAGAACACTTGTATTATGCTCCACATTTGTAACTTGCTTTCCCTTCTCCTCCTTAGCCTTAGCCTCATTGTTCTTCTTTGGTCTATTGTCTCTTACTTCAGTCCACCTACCATTTCGGTACCCAACTACAATGCCACTAGTTAGTAACTTAACTGGTGGTGACATGTTGTTCAATTTCTCATGCTTCTTATCATCAATCACAGCTTGCTCTTGCTCCACGTTGACATGCCCAGTTTGCTTTGAATTACTATTATCATCCATCAATTCTGGATGCAATCTCCAGCATTCCTCCTCGTTGTGGCCCTGTAACCTACATTCCTCGCAATACTTAGGAATGTGGTCATAACGAATCTTGACCCATTCAGACCTTGTTTTCCCAGTAGCTTTATTCAAAATGTCCATACGTACACCCTTAGGTAGCTCAGCTAAAAGATCAACTTGTACTTTCACTCTTGCATAGGTTGGCCTTGTTTTATTAATATATGCAATAACTAGATGCAAAGGTTTTCCTACTGCAGAGGCCAAGGAAAATAAACATTTGTTTACAAATTAAGTAGGCAACACATTTGGAAACGAAATTCATGCCATTGCCAAAGGAGTTTCTTCACCAAGCTTGAACTTAACATCATAAATCAAAGGACGCATTTGCTATTGGTACCCAAACTTTTGCTTTCACGTAATAAGCTACCTTCGAAATAAAATTCACATAATCTTCCCATAGTGACAATCTAATTAGAACATGTCTATCCCTCAAGAAACCTACGTTGCATTCACCCTTAACTCTACATTGAGAAGGAATTATTTTGCGTAGCTCTTGTAGTTCAGGCCAACCGTATGAAAACTTACCAATCACTGCATATTGAAGACCTTCGATAATTTTTATGGGATTTACTTATGCTTCTGTCCACCTAACGATAGGTTCTCCATGTAAAAACTGAATAGGTGTAACTGGAATAGGTTCAACTACTTTTGAACTAGGGTTTACGTGCATGGGCATATTTAATGAACTTGGCTTCAATAAATTGGAGAAGTCTCGAGGCTGGGAAGTGTTTGGATTAGGATTAGAAGATGGTATTGTGGCTTGGGGAGGCAGACCAGCCGTTGAGGGTGGCTGGCCGCCGGTCATATTGGCCATGGGAGGAGCTTGCAGCGAAATTGCTTATTTTGCCAGAGCTAGGGTTTTTACTGTATTCTCCTACGGCCAAGTTTTAATCTGCAATCTGTAAGCACCTAATTTTTGCCTCGCATGGAAATAAATCCTAAAAATAGACCAAAAATAATTTTAATTGATTTTAGGAGTTTTTCTTTATTTAGTTGCATTTTATGCATTTTTAATATCTTAAATATTAGAAAAAAATCATAAAAATTATCACATTTTAATTTCATGCCATCTTAGGTTTAATTTGCACTTTAGGAATTAATTGCTTATTAATTGTAGAACTAATACATAAAAAATCACAACAAAAAATATTTTATTTATTTTACATGCATTTTTAGTTAAATAATTGGTTAAGTGATAGTTAACAGGCTAATTTTGCAAATTTAGTTTTAATTTAAGTATGTTATCTAAAGTGGTTGATTTAGCAATTAAAATAAAAGAAGGATTGAGTTGTTGACATTCCTAACTAGACTAAGCAAAATCAATAGTCCAACTGCCCAAAATAGCAGCCTAAACCCACGCCCAATCCACCCCATTACTCGCCTAGCCCATCCCTGCCCTCTTCACTAAAACACTCCCCTCCCCTTAAACCTAGAACATATCAGATACTCCCCTCCCATTAACGAAAAAACCTAGCAGCCGTTATCCACCTTCTCTCCACACCTCTAACTTCAGACCTCACCCCCAATTCCCAAAAAACACAGCCGCAATTCTCTATCTTCTTCACAAAAAATGGCTGGAAAGAGAAAACAAAAAAAGGAAGAATAAAAAAGAGAAAGAAAAGGGAACAAAAGCAGAGGAGAGTAGAAAACATACAAATAAAGAGTGAGGGATTCTGGAGACGAGAGATCTGAAAATATTATAAAAAAAGAGCTAAAACCAACGTAACCCAGCTGAAAAATCTGTTCGAAATAGTTCATTTTTATCAAAAAGCAACGTCAAGAGTTGAGATCGAAGGCGTCGTTCGAAAACTCCGGTCGTCAGTTCCGGTTGAGTTCGTCGGCGAATGTTCTGTCAAGAAATTGTCCAGTTGTTGTAGTTTTGAGCTCAGATCCATCAATACAAAGATTTCACAAGTTGCTTCACTTAGCCGATATTCTGTGCAATCTCTGGGATTTTCGAGTTTAGATCGAGCCATTAAAGGACCGTTTGTTGCTGAAATCGCTGTTGCTGCTTTGTTAAGCTCTGTTCATCTTTGTCTCTATCTTTACTTGGCTCATTGTGGACTATTTTTCTACTATTCAGGTACTGATTTTAGTCTCAAATCATGTAACCACTATACATATATCATAGCATTATAAAATCTGCCTCAATTTTGTTCATCTATATGCTTGATTAAATACTAATTCACTGTCTAACTATAAATTCTGATGGGATGTTTGAAATAAAGCCAATATGAACTGGACTTTTGATTGGCAAATATTAGTATGTGAATGGTTGCTATTTGTGTATATTCCCTAAAATTCAGCTAGCTCCTTTATCTAGCATGTAATTGTTGATACCCAATTTTTTTCTCATATATTTTAAAATGTGCATACACATTTTTAAAATATTGTACATGAATTTACAAACATGCACAAGTATTTTACAATTTTTCTATAATTTTTAAAAACCTTAAATCAATTTATTTCTGTATTTTTAATTATATAAATATTCAATAATTATCCCTCGTATTACTTTACAATGATTTAGTCATCTAAATTCATAATTTATGTTCAAATATTTTAATTATATTTTTTACAATCACATTTGCATTTTTAAGACTATAATTGCATATTTTGCAATAATTGCCCATGCGTATGCATAACTACATTATCTATACAATTTTTTTTTTATATATTTTTATAATGTTAAGTAATTATTTTAAATCACCTTCATGCATTAAAATCATTTTTATTATTTAATTAGCTATTTTTACAAATTATTTTATTAATTAATTGGGTATTTAACAAATAGCCCTTTTATTAAGTTTAAATTCGGACCCCAGCCCAATTCAAATTAACCTAAGCCCAATCCGCCCCGACCCAAATTAAAATAACCCCTACCCGGCCCAAATCTCCTCTAATCGTGGCCGTTGATCTAGAGATCAACTGTCCACATTCCCCCTTTCCATTTTTAATCCAAACGACCCCCTAATGCTAGTCATTTGTTACAAACCGCCACCCTTGAATACCTATCTTCTCTCTGAGACCACCCAAACCCTAGATGTACCGTCACCCCTAAACCTCCCAAACCCCTTCAATCCCTGACCAAATATGGGGTTATTTGGAGTTTTGCTACCCTATCTAACCTATTACTTCTGCTGGTTGTTCGAATCTCGTTGTTTTATGAGGGAACCTCGAAGAGGTTCGACTCAGAGTTGACCTAGGCTTTTGTTTTCTTATGAACACCGCCTTGTGTTCATCAACATTTGTGAGTATCGTTGGTTTTGTGGCTATGGTTAGATTTTTCCTTTACCCCACCCCTTTTCTCAAAACCCTATCTTTTAGACGTGAATCTGTTTAAATCTTTGTAGATCTGGAGTGATTTTGATTTTATCCAGTAGTTTTCTTTTTAAAATCTCTTGTTCTCTTTATTGTCAATCGATTTTAGTATCCGTCTAAATTAGGGTTTTGCTTCCTTGTTATTTGCTGTTCAGATCTCTTTGGATCAGAAAAGATTTCGAGTTCCTATAGCATTTTTCTCTTAAGATCTTCTGTTTTCCTTGCTGTTAATCGATCCTAATTTTCTCTAAGAATTAGGGTTTCACTTCATCTGTTTTTGCAAAACTTTTCTAAAAATTCCTGTGTGTTTGATTATCCATTTTCACTGATTCTTTCATCACTGTGTTCCAATTTTTAGTTTGATTGATTATTTCATTAGTCGCCCCAATATTTGCCCGTTATTCTTGAGTAATTGATTGATTACCTAAACTGTCTAGGGTTTGAAATTAGCTTTGTTTACTGAGGTGATTACTTCTTATAATTTTGTCTACTTTCCTTATTTTGGGACTCCTAATTGGTACTATTTGCTTTAATTGTTCCTATTAAGCTTAATTTATGGGCTGACTGCCTCACCAACTCCTAAATTGGTCTCTATTTACTTGTGTTACCTTATTTGTGGCTAATCGCCCTGTTACTTGCCAGATTTTTGGTGTTCTGACTCTAATTGGCTATCAGACTTACCACTTACCTTATTTAGACCTCAATTCTGAGTTATTTTTGGATACAATCGCAATGATTTTGGCCTATTGATTGGCCCTGTCATGCCTAATTGATGGACTGATTGTTTTCCTTGCCTTATTTTCTAACCTTTAAACTGCTTTACCTTATTTACTCTACTCTACTGAATGCTATATAAGCCTCACTCTCTATTTTTAACACACGTGGACACATTCATAGAGAAACACACAAAGTTCTTGTTCTTATCCCCCATCACAATCTTCCTACTCTTTATTTGTTGCACTGTCTAGCCGGCTGAAAGCCAATGCTAGACCCTTGGATCCTGTTTGCTTTACTTTCCTCTTGCTATCTCTTAACTGGTATCTCTCCACTTCTGTTATCATTCTATCTCTATTAAGTCGGTGTGTTTCCTGTTATCACTCCTAGGACCTTATAGATCATGGTTAAGAACCTACAAAGATCATGGTTAAGAACCTACAAAGGAAGATGCGTGGTTGGTGCAGGTCACTAATTTGAATCCTGCAGCTAGCTAAAGCATGGTACTTAAGTGCGAGATCACATATCCCCCGAGTTTCAAACCTGTTCAGTTATAAATAAAAAAATAATAATAAATGTCTATAGCAGATAACTCAACTAATACCAAGCAGATAGTTATTAGGTAATAAACAAGAAAGGTAATTGGAGAAAATGTTACTCTTTTTGGAAAATTATAATTCTTGTTAGTAGCCATCTATATAATCGCAATGAGATGTTACTCTTAACCACTACAGGATTTATTCTACAGTTCATTAGCATCGGTTCACTGAGTTTCTAACAAGGTTTAACAATGAGTTTACACTTTAAAAATAGCTTCTCCAGACTCCAATTAACTATCTTACAGTAGAGGAAATGAAAGCTAAGTAAGAGGGACGAATCATATAGTACTCTAAAGGAAACATACAACAAAATCAAATGGGGTATCTGAATAAACTTACCAGAAAAGAGAAATAAAAGGAATGAAGCTGACGGATTTTTCCTCCAGGTGAACTAGGGCGCAAGTCATGTGTAAAAAGAGAAAACAGAGAAGATAATGGTACATAATGAGTCGCAAAGGAATGAGTTTGGGCTTTTACTTGCTGGGCATGTGTGGGCTACAAGAGTGGATTAGGTCTGGTTGTGATGGGCCGCAAATCTTGGGCATTGCTTGGCTAAAAATTGCACAGGGTGCCCTATTTGGTCGCCCCCATTTAACCTATACCCATTTTTTTTAAAAGTTTTAACTTGTACCCACATTTAAACAACTTCAGCCCCCTTTCTCCTCCTCCTTCTCCTTCGTTTCTTCTTCTTCTTTTTTTT